AACTGATAAAAGCAAATGTGTGAAATGCCTTTCACTTAACTAACAGGCATGACTCCAAATTCTAGAACTCCCACTGCTTTCTCTGAAACCTTAACCCATGATGATAGGAAACATGAACTGATGGAAGGTCCTTCACTAATGTTACAAGATCTTTGGCTATTGTGAAGTGATAGCTAATGGAAAGCTTTGTCAGGCATAATCCATTCCTGTACAGTCTTTGGGATTATCTCTTGTGACTATGGTATTTCATTTTTGTACGGGGAAATCAGATTAATAAACCTGCTCAGCCTTCCCATTTCGTTCATTCGTTCATTCAGCAGCTGACGTAGGGAGGTGATCAGTTATGCCCCTTTGCCTTCAAAGTCCAGTGAAGACATCATGCCCACAGCCAGATTTATTTAAAGAAAAAAAAAAAAGTAGGAAAAGCCTATAGAACTGTAGGGAGATCTGGGCAAATTCACAATTCATTTCTCAACTGATGGGTTGAGGAGACAAAAATAATAGTAAAGATATAGGAAACCTATAAAAGATAAAAATCCTATCAGAATGAATTTCCCCAGGATGTCTCACAGAGAACACAAGCTTTTCTCAAGCATATGTGGAATTTTTAATTGTCACATACTAGTTCATAAGTCAAAACTTGCAAAGGATTCACAAAGAAAAACAAGGTAATAAAAACAAAAAGTTAAATTAAAAATCCCTCTGTTTGGAAAATCTGAGACACCTCTAAATTGATAGAAACAATGGAAATGAAGAAGTGTTTATAACCAACAATCAAAACACATTTTAACACTTGCAAGGTTCAGCAAGATAGTATTTCAAAGAACATTAGACTTTAAATGACTACAACAGAAATGATAGGACAAATATCTCAACAAAACAAGTTAGAAACCATGCAACAGAATCAATCCAAACATTTTAAGAAAATGAGATAATGCAGAATAAGAAATATGCAATACAGAATTGACAAAACCAAAAATTGGCTCTTCAAGAAAACTAATAAAGCAGACCATCTTCTGGTGAGAATGGTAGCTATTGTCAAAAAGAAGGCAGAAACATTCCATTCTATGAAAGAAGGGAAGATACACTCTGAGACTAAAAGGAGAAGAAAATATTATGAGCAAATCTAGATTTTCCTAATAACTTGTCTACCTTCCAATTTATTGATATAAGTTTCAAAAAAGGTTTAAGGAGAAATAGAAAGCCCAAAGTGTTCTAATTTATTAAAAGGAGACTTTCAGAAGTAGTTTAAAAACTTTACAAGAAGAACACTTGGCCCAAATGGTTTTTATAGGACTTTTTCATACTATTCGACTTTTATATAAGCTCCTCAGAAAACAGAAAAAGAAGAATCGCTCTTCAGTGTGTACCCTGAGGCTTGGATAATGTTGATCCCAAAGCTGAAAGAACAGAGCATGGCAGGAGATGAGGAGATTAGAACAATCTCACTCAGCAACCTTAAAGCAAAATTCCTAAATGATGTATTAGCAAACCAAATTGAGTCATGAAATCTCTCTCTCTCTCTCTCTCTCTCTCTCACACACACACACACACACACACACACACACACACACACACACACACACACACGACCAAGCTGGTTTTATACTGGGAAGGGTGATAAGTTTAAATAACAAAAACTTGTAGGTATATCTCACCACATTAAAAGATCAAAAAGCCACATATTCATCTCAACAGAGGCAGAAAATGTATTTGATTACATCCACTCAGGATACAAAAATGGTACCCAAAGAAATGAGACTCCTTGATAATATAAAAGTACTTACGAAAAACCTAGAACAAATTTAATTCCTAATGACAAACATTTTGAAGCATTATTTAAAAACTGATCTCTAATAAAAATTAAGACTTCTGTATGTTAGAAGTACAGAAAAAGTATGGAAGACAAAAAAGGGAAGATACAACACATATAACCAAAACAATAATTTCTCATATCCTGTAGTAGTAGACATGAGCAATTATCCATGCAAATAGCTCAAAAAAATGTGAAAAGATTCTCCACCTCCTGAGTAGTCATGGAGATGTAAATTAAGACAAGATACTGTTTCATACCCCTTAGATTGCAAAACTCATGAAGTCTGGCAGTATTAAGTTTGGGAGTATAGGAGTAAAAGGCAACACCAGCAATGTTGATGGAAGGAGAATTTAGCACGACCACCTTGGAATAGGATTTGACATGAACATTCACTGATCCTACAATCCAGTAAGTTCCCATGTGCATGTACAACCTAGAGAAATTCTTGCTTATGTGTAGAACAGACAGGTATACAAATCTTCTTTGCGATCACAAATAACCACAAGGAGAAAACAACCCAAATGGTTTCCAACACCACAATGGATAAATGGGAGTATATTCACATCATATGAAGGATTAAATAAAAAGTAGAAGTTATTTACCATAATTTTTCTCTCTTTCAAAGTATTAGTGCTGACCTGCAGGTGCAGAGCAACTAAGATGCTCCCCCAGAAACCCTGAGCCTTGCTAATCAAAGCGTGGGCCAAGACCAGCAGCACGGGATCAGCCGGGAACCTCGTAGAAATGCAAACCTCTGGCCCCGTCTCAGACCTACTGGGTCATAGTCTGTATTTTAACAAGACTTCTGTGCACATTAAAATTTGACAAGTATTGCCCTATAGTAGCATTCACTATTCAGGAGAGCACCAGCTGGTTAGACCCTCTATTGCATCCAAATATTTTCAGCAATTCTAGCATTATTCATTCCAACATGCATGAATGTAGGAAACACTCCTTGAGTTCCTGCTCTGGGCCAGCTACTTTATTACTGCTAGGGATACAAATACTCAAGGAGTTCACAGACCTCTGCATTTATACACACACTTGCACAAGTAACCCTACACAACCAAATTGAATTTTTTCATACTGTTCCTAATGCTATGGTAATTTTATATAATTATGTACATAATAATTTTATTCTCCTCTTGTGTTTTAATGTATCCTTATGATGAGTCATGATCATGGCTCCTTCTAGTGACACAAAAGATGTTTTAATACTAAGTTTCCGTGTCCTATCACATTCCAAGAAATTTAAGAGCTTAGATCACCTAAACTCTGGTTGCCTTTCACACTTTAGCTTGAAACAGAGCACAGTTTCCTGCTATCTGTTAGGCTGCACACCATCCACTTGGTCTTGGAGTTGATTTCAGGAGGACAAGTTTGGACATTAATTCAGGCACATTTTGAAAGGGGCCAGTAATATTCCTCATATAAATTCTACTGTACTATATAATGCCTCTTTTCCCATCCTGAAATAATTTCGTGATTTTCTATACTTGCATATATAATACTCTTAAAAATGTGAAATGTTTACATTCAACATAGGAACATGGTGGCTGTGACATTTATAAATCCCGACAGATACAGATATGTTACCTTAGACTCAGATCCTAAGAGTGCTGTTGCTATCCTGAACTTGGATGCCGAATAGCTCCTGATAAAATTTTAGACCAAAAAATACAAACATACTTCAATTTACATTAAAACATATATTCCTAGAAAATCCACTATACCAATTAAAGCCTCATCAAAAATAAGACCTAAAACTTTTAACTTCTAGGCTTAGATCATTTTAAGTTTTCTTTTCCTTAACCCGGAAGATTATCCTATAAAACATTAGAAATCTACAAAACTCAGGATAATTTTGTGTTCTATCGTAGGGATCTGACCTTTGCAAGATGTCTAAGATCTCTGGCTTCTATTCAATCATCATGGTCCCCAGTTCATTGTGACAAAAAATGTCCCCACAAATTTTCCCAGAAGAGAAATCCTCCAGGAGGCAGTATGGCCCCACTGAGACAGCTGTGTTAACCAGGGCTTCCTGGGGAAATCACCCACATTGACCCCCACATTGTCTTTGAGAGAAGCCAATAAACCAACTGTCCCTGTGCCCGGAATGTTATAAATGGACATTTACCTCCATCAGTCCTGTATCCTGTTCTCCAAACACATCGGTGTTCCTACCAGCTAGCAAGGGCCAATTAATAAATACAGAATTTTTGCAAGCCAGTTGAAGTCATATTAGTAGTTTAAATCAACCATGATGGGAATATTTATACAACAGAAATTGGCAAATGCTACAAATCAGGGCTCATTTTGTGGGAAAAGGGACCAGTTTGTAAATATTTAACAGATTTTATATGAAAGACCTTTGGCAGCTTCCTCTTATTCTCAGTTTTATATTCAAGTTCCCTTCCTTGTAGCACATTGAGTCTCTTTTGACTGATAATGTTGAAGGATATTACTGCTGTACAATCCACATTATTTTTTCCAGTAAATAATGTGGAGCCCTACTTGGCCTTTGTGATTGAAAAAATTAGCCTAATGTCAAGGTAGAAAAATTGCCTGTTGTTCGCTTTCTTTTTAAGGCACTCATTTAAATCTACTTGTAACAAAAAACATACACAGGGTTCCAGTCTTGTTTAGAAAAAAAAAAAAAAAACAACCTTTTTTAAATCTGTAAGTACTGATGAGGCCTTTGGGTAAAGGTAGAACTTTTAAAAAGTGTGGATAAAAATGGAGAGGCTAGAATAATTTCTCCTTCAGGCTGGGCGCCCCGTGCTGGGTACAAGAGCCCGGTGGTTGGCAGGCAGAGGCTGCAAGCCGATGGAGCTGCTCAGGCAGACAATGGGACTTTGAACCCTCAAAGCTAACAGGACAGAGGCTGTAAGTTTGGCTCAGAGACTTGGAGACTCTTTGAGATTATGCCTAGAAATCAGCACTCTGAGAATGGGGCGCCCAGACTACACCTCCCCTTACCTTGAACACTGGAATTGCCTTGATTGTGGGTGTCATTGAGACCCCTTCCAAAGGTGGGGTAAGCAGTAAAACAGGCAAGTGAGAAGAAGAGGAAAGACGACAGGGTGGCTGGCTACCTCGTGGGGAACACATCTGCCTGAAGATACTTCTCGGGGCTTCTGGAAATAACCAGAAGTTACTTTAAAAAGAAACAAAAACAATTCAGGAGCGGCTGACATTGTCGGGTGTCGGTGTCTTGGCGTCCGGGTGACTCGGCGTGATTGCGTCTGGTGTCTTTGCATTCGCTAACAGGTCAAAATGCAGATCTTCGTGAAGACCCTGACCGGCAAGACCATCACCCTGGAGGTGGAGCCCAGTGACACCATCGAAAACGTGAAGGCCAAGATCCAAGATAAAGAGGGCATCCCCCCTGACCAGCAGAGGCTCATCTTTGCAGGCAAGCAGCTGGAAGATGGCCGCACTCTTTCTGATTACAACATCCAGAAAGAGTCAACTCTCCACCTGGTTCTCTGTCTGAGGGGTGGCTGTTAATTCTTCAGTCTTGAATTCATAGTGCCCAGTGATGGCATTACTCTGCACTCTAGCCATTTGCCCCAATTTAAGTTTAGAAATTACCAGTTTCAGTAACCGCTGAATCACTGGTTTTCTCAATAGCTGTTCAAAATGTTAATAAAAGTTTTGTTGCATGGTAGCAAAAAAAAAAATAATAAAAAATAAAAAATAAAAAAAACAAAAACAAAAGCAAAAAACACTGAGATAGATGGAAGCTGCTAATTCAGCAAACATCTGGGTTACCCTTCAACAAGGAATACCCTTTCTGGAACTACTGATATCTAGCTCTGATGCTGGAAGTTACTGTTCAACTAGTGGTTCCCTAACTTTCATAGACATAATGATCTCTTGGGGAAATTCATTAAGATGCAGACGCCCAGATTTTGGAACCCAACCCCAAGATTCTCAGGCTTTACACTGGGGATGAGAGAGGGGTTTGCAAAGCTGCATTTTTAATGGCCACTCCCTTGATGCAGACTGTTTCAAACATACTAGATAACCCTTTGCTTTTATTTCTGAGCAAAGAAGTTGCTTCTATCGATGAAGAAATTCACCTTCATGTGACCTAGTCGGTTTTGTACATTAATTCACATACTTCCTAATTGCTCTTCTCTTCCCAAAGAATTCTTAATCTTTCTGAAGAACATCCTTTAGGATTACAGTATTTTAAACCTTTAAAATCTCCCTTAATCAAAGGGAAATATCACACCATAGGAGGGACTAGCACATTTTCAATCAACAAAATGTTACAAATTACTTCCATTTGTAATCAGTAAACCGACAAATCCATTATAGCCAGATTAGCTAATAAGGAATATAATGAGCTAAATTCTTCACTATTTTGAAGGGCATATTAATTCAGGTAGAATAGAATGTGACAAAGATGATCTAAACATGTGTCCCATGCTGCACGCTTTTGTCTTGTACCCAAAACCCACAACCCTGACCTTGAAATTCTGTTATGTGACAGTGACCTAACTGAAAATGTCCAAAACTATGATTTCTTTCTAACCTAGAACTGAACAGTTTATCTGGTCATTCATTCCCTCACCGCACAGATCCTTTCCAGCAAGATTTCAAAACAGGAGTGGCAGATTTAGAACAATGAAGCATTGTGTTTGTTATTGAACTTGCAACACAGAAAAAAACATACCAAATGTCCGAAGTTTATTGGTCTTACACCAAAAAAAAAAAAGACAGAATTTCCTCAACATCAAATTTCTGAGGTCTTGATTCTCAATTCTGCTTTTTGATTCCCCATATCTAGTTATTTCCAAGAAAAGCAGATTTTTCTCCCCCACCCCCCACCCAACTTCATTTCAGGCAGATGAATTTCCCAGTTAATTAAATGTATGAAGGAGCCACATCCTTGATCAAATGGACAATCATATGAAAGGAATAGTGTGTGATTTGTGGTAGAACAGCTTCGAAGGGCAGTAGGCCATTTTCCTAACTGAAATGTCAGAAGATTACTAGGCCATCATGATTATTACCCAGGGTACAAACTAAGGGACATTGGCTAGAATTCCAATATTCTCCTGCCTTACACGCTAGTGACAAAACCATATTTTATACTTCCACTAGAATCATACTTTGGGACTACCTAAAAAAAATATTCAGACTTTACCAGTGAAGCCTAACATTTGAATGCTTAGACTAAAAATAGTGGTCATTAATTAAAACAGTCAATCCATCCATTACTGACTAGCTTCCTCAACAGTATTAGGAATCATTCAGATATATTTATTCATTTACACTGAACACAGTTATAGATTATAACTAATAATTAAAAGTACAAATCATACAAGCTATGTTCACAGAATCTAGACAATTATGTACTGGGCCTACAGGGTAGGAGGTAGGGTTATGTGGGTTTGCAGAGACAAGGGCAAGGAAATGGTCTCATGTAATTAGCATGGTGTTCAACCAGCAGCCCCCGTGATGGCCAACCATAGGATGCTGTGGATGGGGCAGCCCAGGAAGCTGTAAGAGAACAGACGCATCCTTCGGATGCCTTAAGAAGTCACTGGCTCTGAAGAGAATTAGCACTGGGCTACCCAATGACGGACTTGCCACATGTGAGGATTCAGTACCGTACTTTTGATTCAAGTTTTATATCAAGTTACAATACAAACAGTAATGTGATAGGATACTAGGCAAAGTCTCTTTCTAAACCAAAAGGCAGCACTTACAGACACTGCTTTTAATTCATGTGTTTTTCAAAGAAGGATGCATATAGATACAAATTATGCCAATATTAAAGATTTTCTTCCCTTGTAAATATAAATGGTACAACTAAGAGGGTTTTTTAATTGATATTTTCATAGAGTATTTTTCCTCTTTACCATATCCCATTAACCTGGGGAACATTTTACAAAGAGTAGAAAAACAAAGAGAAAAATTAAATTAAGAGAGTGACAGCCTGCCAGGTTTCATATTAACAAAAACAGTAAAGCATTTTCCTAGAAAAGTATAGTAGACTCATTTGGTATTTCCTCCTTCCAGGAGAAGGAATAGCATTTTCTCAGAGGCAGATTATAACAGCAATGTGCACAAAATTAATTTGACCATAGCACAAGATCTCTCTAGACTGAACTGTTGACTATTTTGCTGAAATTCTTAGAGGGGATGGTCTTTAAGTTTTTCTAGTCTAAGTTTTCTTCTTGACATGAAACAAAACTTTCCAAGAAATGCTTCACAGTCCTAATGCACCAGGGATAGAGGGAGACAGATACACATACACCCGCCAAGGACAAGGAGACAACAGAAGGGGCTTCGGGAGAAACAGATTATGTTTCTGGAAATATTTCTGCCTTGTAGCATCAGAAAGCTTTGCATTTGAATGTGTCCTAAAAGGGAAAGGAAGACTTCACCAAATGATAGTACATGAAGAGAACTTCCTAGTCAAAGGAAAGAAGAGGAAGAAAGTCATAGGAGTGCAGCAAAATGGGCGGATTTGGATAAATTAGGATGTAAGGGTATAAAAGATGAGGACAGAGATCTTAGAATCTGTGATGGCAACAGGTAATAGAGATCCCTAAAACCACATTGAGAACTTAGAAATTTATCTTGTAGATTATGCAAAGGCATGGTCTGTGGGACAGTGAGGAGTTTTATGGAGAAAATGGAATGGATAAGATCAATTTCCTGGCATGAAGTAAAAAGCTGGACTAAGAGTTGGGAGGAGGTGCAGGGAGGGAGGAGATGACCTGGGATGGCCAAGGATGTCCTAAGGCTCACAGTGGCATCAGGGTGTCTGTTGAAAATGATCATTAACTAAAAAAAAAAAAAAAAAAAAGAAGGAACTTTAATGTTTTGGTTTTCAACTGCCTGTCCCTATGCCCAAGTAACATATCAATTAACTCTTTTCCTTTTATCAGTGTCAAGATGACATCAAATCAATATCTATGTATTTGAGGCGGGGGGGAAAGTCTTTCCTAAAATGATTGAAATGAGGGTTCACCAGAGCTGAGGAGACCAAATAGGAAGTGTGGTAATAGAAAGGGGAAGGAGGTTTGTAATATATTTTGCACATGTTATTCCATTTGGTGACCAACGGTAGAGGAGAGAGAACAGTGAGGACTCAAAGGTGACTGAGGGTCCTAGCTTGGTGACCAGGTACAAAGCTCCATCCACAGAAACCCAATTCTAATGATAAAGCTTGAAGTTACATAGAGATGGCATCAATAACAGTATTAACACACCTTCAAAAGTATGATCACTTTTCCCTAGAGACAAGAGTTCAGTCCCATCACATACATTATCTCCCCCTACATACATCTCACGTGTCTTCCGTTGCTCTGTGCATACATACCCATCCCTTCTGTAGCCTAAAGAATGTTAATAGTCTTGGTCCCATTCCTCTAGCCCCACCACCCTGCCCCTTCCTCGCTCAATGCCAGCATCATTAATCTTGTCAGCTTTTCAGAATCACTTTGCCCATTCTTCTGCCATAAAATCACCAACACAGTCTACCACAGACATTTCACCCTTTCCCTGTGAAGGTGAACTCATCCTTTTGTTCCTCATCTGATCACTTTCTTAGCAAGTCCTTCTTGACCCCCCTGCCAGGGTCCTTGGAAACATGATTTCATAGAACTGCATTCCTCTCCTTGGAAGCAACTTTTATAGTTTGTAGCTGTATATTCAACACTGATGTTACATGGCATTGGGCTAAACCTGGTGAGAACAGAACTGCATCTGTGTAGCTGTCCAGTCCATCCCCCCCGCATGTAACACAGTAGGCTCGATAATACTTTGGAGTCAATAGTGAGTCAGTGAAAAACTGAGTATCTCCTGTTGACATGAGTTTAGCCTTACCATTTGGGGGAAAAACTTTCCCCCCACTCAACTTCCCTCCACCATATTAGACCAAGAAAGTGGCATTAGCTCCTTACTGTCCTGACCGAAGCTTGGCTGTGTTACAAGAGACACTTTGGGAGCTGTCACCGGTTGCTGTCTCTGCTATCCAGAAGGAGTAGTGCCATCTTCAGGATGCCAGCTCTGATTAAATTCTTTTTATTCTGGGTTTCCCTCTGCTAGAGAAAGGGGGAAGGGGGCTTGCTGGTTCATTCTACCACTGTGAGAAGTGAAAATAAATACAGTTTTAATTTATTAGAGACAGCGTCTACCAAATAGCACTTAGAACTCTGCAACATTGTCCCATTATAACAGAAGAAGGCAGTTTCAAGAGAACCCATCACTCTTTCCGACTTCATTTGGCTCCTACCATGACCACACAGGTTTTCACAACTCCAACGTTCTGGTTTCCAAAACCCACTTGGAACTCCATCAGAGCCCTCCCCTCCCAGAGGCTCCAACTCTCAGTTTGAGAATTAAGGCATGAAACACATGGAAATACAATGTTCCAATCCATCTAATTAATGCATTAAGTCCCTCATTTGCATAGTACAAATTTCCCTTTATGCTCTCAGTTGCTCGGCAATTGCTTGCCTCAAGAAAATATATTAGCAGTTAAAACGCAGCTTAACAATAAGAGAAACAAAGACATCAGCCCTATTTCCAAAAGCATATTTCAGAAAGGAAAGGGAAAATCCATCATGTAAAGGGATTTCAAATCCTAAAGTGGCTGAACCGTTCAATTTTGGGAAACAATTTAACCATGGTAAGTAAAGTAAC